CGGGCAGCCTGCGCCCGCGGGCTGCCAGGAGTCGCTGCGCTGCAGAGCCCGGCTTATCTCTACAGAGGGCCTCCCCTCGCCGCAGAACCGGTTCTCCTCTGTTTAGATAAGGCGCCGCAGGTAATGAGGCTTTCCTCGCCTAGGGACGGGAGCCCCGACGAGCTGATTGACAGAGGAGTGAGCCTTTGGAACAGCCCGCCTGACACCCATTTTTTAGTCCCGAGCCAAAGGAAAAAAAATAGGCATCGTCCACAGGACCCTCCACTAGTAAACAGGCTACAGGCGCCCAGTGCGGCCATCTCCATCCATCCCCCAGCCAACAGACACTGGAATAAAGCAAATCCAGGCCAGTGGAGAATGTCTGCACAACTGCTAGTCCCGGCTTGGGGAATTGTCCATACAACATTATTTGCTTTGCATAATCTGCAGCTGGGCTGAAATACTTTTTGGGGCACTCTGGTCTCTCTGGATGTGTGTTTCGTTGGTTAGTATCCTCCCCTAGACACAAAAAAAAAAAAAAAAAAGCCCAGTCAACCTATTTACAGTTGAAAAAGCAAGAGGATTTCTAGAGGATGCGTCAGTGGCCTGTCAATCGAGGGTGATTTTTACCCCCTTTTCGTTTGCTGATCTCTGAGCCATTTGGACAAGAGATGCAAACCCCTTTGGAAATCTTAGACCATTGTCTGAGAACCGCCAGGAGTCTGCGGAATAGGAGCTGAAACCCACTGGTCTAAATGGAGCTGGGTAAAACGAACAGTTTCGCGAGCCATTGGGAGCACAGAACGATCCCACACTGAGAGCGTTGTGTTTTTAAAAAGCAAGCGCGGGAGGAAATATCATTTTAAAAGAGGAGGGTGACACGATCGTTCTGAAGAACTGCTCTATGGGCACAACCTTGTTTTAATTGCGGGTCTGTTGCTTTCACACACCCGCTCTCTGGGTTGTCTGATAAAATCTCTTCGCCTTCAAAACTCCATTAAAACAACCGAGATCTTTGACAAGGCCTCGGAGCTTTTCCCCCTCTGTTTCTCTCGGTATTTTCCTTGTGTTGAGATTATGATTTACTCTGTATAGTGCAGGGCTGGTCCCTGCAGTCACGAGGAATTGCTGCTTACCCCCCAGTTATGCACTTTCCTGTACCGGCTGTAATATTTTGTGAAGGTGTTAACGCAACCGTGGCAGGGAATTCCTGCACAACCACCTTTCCCCATTGCCATGACAAACAAAAGCCCGGTACAACCGCTGAGAAGCAATTCCTCGAGAATACTGTACCCCCAACATTTGCTCCATCCCGCTCCAGTGGGGCTTTGACTTCTAAGCTCTCGGGCTCTGATACGCACTGCCCCAGGCGCAAGGTGAATTGGTCCTGCCCCGAGGTCCGGGCTGCACTTACCTTCCATGTCTCTGGTGACGGTGCTGAAATGCATCCTCTGGGGGTGGGAGCCGGAGCTGAAGTGCTTGCGAAGGCCACAGCTGGGCTCCTGCAGCGCTGCCTTCCCTGCGTGTTCGGCGGCGACTGAAATCAGAGAGGCGATACTGAAAGCATTTGCCTTGGGAGACAGAGGGCTGTTCTCGTCCATAGGGGAGACCGATGCAGCAGCCTCCCCCACCCTCTGGCCTCGCCAAAGGCCCCCCC